CTGTACTAAGCAATGAATATTCTTTATCATCATAAGTTAATAGCCACAAAACTTTAGCCAAATATTTTCGGTATTTAGACTCATTTTGCTGACGACAAGCTTGTAGAAAGCATATTATGGCAGCTACACCAGTTTGCATTGTTTGATTTGGATAACTTTTAGTAAAGTACTCTTCCATATACTCGCCCCAAAGTGCCCAAGCTTTAACCATAGAATCATGTAATTGCACAGCTGCTGAAAAAGCTTTGTGAGCTTCTTCAGATTTACCTTTATTATTCATAAAAAATAATTATTATTTGAATAATATAATACATAAAATAATAAAATTACCAATTTGACCAAGAAGCATTCCTTTGAGTGCATAGAATTCAGCAGTCATTTCACTTTGAAAAAATTTTAAATTTGTTCTCTCAATAGCTTCTAAACACTAAAATAAACAGGAAATAAATTAAAATATTTCAGAATATATATTTAAGACCAGGAATGTCAAACGAGCGGCCCTAGCTTCATTTTTTATGGCCTGCAGATAGCAACATTAACAAACAATTAATTGGAAAAAAAAATTATACAATTTCCCTTTTATTTCTAAACTATGTTAGTGTGAAGTATACTTAGTGTTACCTATTCTGTCTTATCTTCTGATAAACTGTAATTTAATAAGTATTGTAATGTTAAGTAATGATTGCAATTACAAATTTGTATAAAATGTTTTGTTTTTCGATACATTTTTATGTGCAGCCCGCATAGTAAACTATTCACTATATTTGGCCCAGTTATTACTACTGAGTTTGACATGCCTGACCAAGACCAATTAAAACAACACTTAATATAATTACAAACACTTACATCTTGAATTTCGTGTTTATTTGATGATATGGATGCCATTTGCATATAACATTTTACCTGTTGTCTAATTTTATGAAAACAATCAACTACAGGTACATTAGGTATTGTATACAATCGAGATAATGTTTGAAGACAAACTCCAGTTAAATTATGTTTACGGCTAACTTTGCCAAAGTGTATTATAGCCTGAAATAAAGAGTATTATTTTTTTTTTTCGAACAAATAAAATAATAAAATTATAATGTGTATACTTGAGCAGAGGCATGAACACCTAATACTGCATTTGTGGATTGTTCGGGTCGGGAACAATATTCAATAACAAATTGGTAATGATGTTGTCGCCAAACAAACACATCACTCCAATGACTTAAGTCATCAGCAACAACTGGCAACCGATTCTTCCATGTTTTTAAAATTGCTTTCATATTATGCAATGAATTATTTGTATCTTTTTCTTGTAACCCTTGATGTATTTGAGCTGCCTCAGATAATTCCATTATCTAAAACAAAAAATATTAAAAAAATAATTTCACATAATTATGTTATTTTTTGTATTTTATTCAAATATTTAATATATAACTAGCTGATCCCAGGCACTTCGTTACCCGTTAAATGTACAAACTGTATATGATTCAAACTTTGTTCAATGCGTTATTTAATAATCGGGGTATGATGTTCTAGATTTATCTTAATTTTTCTGTTGCCTGGAATAAAAATTTGCGGACCTCGTGTTGTTTGTACGTAAGTATATGAATATATGATTTAACTCTAAAGTATCAAAGTTATATCAAGTATGTCGTATTCCACCTATGGTGGATTAATCTAATCAATTAATACAAAATCCTAACCCAACCGAACAAAAATCTGGTGAATAAAAAAATAACAAATTTAACTCTTTTTAAATGAGCCTATCTTCTACCCAGAGGTCTAATCTACACACAAACATTCATTTTTATGTATATAAAAAGAAGAATAGGCTGAGAGAATGGTCAAATGAACAATGTTGGACTAGTCTCCTTCAGTAGCGATGGCGTTACGCAAGTGGATGTACTCGTCTGATCGTAACTTCGACTGATTGAAACGAATGAGATTGAGACGCTCCATAAATATTCAAATTAAAAAAAAATATTAATAAATAAATATTATTATTAATATTTAGTTTTAAAAATTAATGATTTGTCACTTCAAAAAGTTCATTCTAATCTGAGCATATACCTAAGGTCCAGAATTGAAAATTGTTTTTAAAATATTAAATACGCCATTTAAGTACAAATAGGCAAACATAACAGGATCACCATATAAAATAAAAATAATTCAATAATAAATAAGTCTAAATTTAGACTTAGGTAAGACACAGCTCTCCCTTAAAAAGTGTCCAGCCCCTCGGCCATCACCAGATTTTCTCACTGAAAAATGTAACAGATTACAGAATGTTGTTTTTATAAAAGCTAAATTATTTTGAAGTAGGGCCATTGGACCCCCCTTCCCCGTCTATCATGCCATCTTATATTGTATAATTGTACTCCCCCATATTACTTATTGTATATATTCTTGTTTTCTAATGAAAAAAAAAGAGCTAAATTATTAATTTTAAAAGTTTTTTTTTTAAATACTGATGATTTAAATAAAAACTTCTTTGGGTATATTGGTTATTTTAAATGTTTTTATCATAATAAAATATCGAGGTCCGAGATAATAATATATGGTGTATACTATACGTCTATACCAAAATTTAAGATAATATACTAAATTGTATAACAAATTGTGGTCTATACAGTCAGTGTACCATTGCAATATTGGACTAACATTCATTTTTTTTTTAAATAGGTAAAAATTTTATAATTATACTAGATTATTACATTTAGATATCCGATGGTTTTATAATATTATGTTATAATGTTAATATTTATTAATGTGTTTTATTTTTAAAGCATTTAAAATGCTTTATTATAAAAGACGTCAAATGTTGTGCAATTGTTTATATGCTTACTCAATACAATACGGTGACAAGCACAACAAGGGCACCCTAAGGATAAAATCTAACTTGGGGCAGTATGAAAATTACCTATAATCAAATATTTGTTATAGTGATATTGGTTATTGTTTTATTGATATTAAAGTACTTGCAGTTAAACATTCTCAAGCGGGCAATGGCCGCTTGATCCCCCTCCCCTTGTGTTATGAGTTCTGTACTATTATCCAAGTAGTATTTTTAAAACGTTAATTACTCAAAAGTTTATACATGTCATATTATATATTTAGAACTAATAAGATAATATAAAACTACTAAAATTTAAAAATTTAAGTGTGTGCTACTATAGCAATGTTGTGTTCAATTAAATTATACATATTATTTATCCAAGTAATCACTGTAGTTTTTGAAAAAACCCTAGCCCATGGATAAAAAGTATCTTATCAATTCTGCACCCCAGAGAATAATTTGTACATTTTCGTAAATTTTACGTAAATTGTCAATATTTGATTTTTAAATGCTTATTAAAAAAATATATGCTCAAAATAAGTCAAAATTTTTTGAAAAGTTATGGTGTTTATAAAATGGTAATATAAACATTCAGTCAAAATCGCATGTATCTACGGTGATTTGTTTTAGAGTTACACCTAAAACCAAAATCAATTTTGAGTAAAAATACCCGTTTTTCCTTCATTTTTATTTTTTTTTCACGGCGCTTTTGAAAACTACTGGGAAATTTTTACTTTTAACCCCTCCAAAATACCTACCAACTAGATTCACTTTCCTATCAAAAAAGATGCGTAGTGTTACCTCCCCAAATGGTGATGACAGATACAAAAAAAAAATTATAAATAAGTAAATATTTTTATTTAGCCACGTTATAGTATCTAATATGGTATTCGGTCAAAAAGTCCGGCATGAAAAAAGTTGGATAAAAAGTCCGGATTTATATTTTGATTGCCGGACAAAAAGTCCGAGTACATTTTTACTGTCGGACAAAAAGTCCAAGCATACAAAATTGCCTATTAATCAGTATTAAACTCGGTATTAAATTATACGTTTTAAAAAATCTAGTCTACAATAATAATTTGTGTGATAGACATATAATTATACATGGATAATAGAAGAATATTAAGAATATTCTTCTATTATCTATGTAATTATATAAATAAATGTGATAAAGTCCCGAAATTAGTCGCACGATTAAACGGCCACAGGTTGCGCTGCGTACGCTAGGGTTGCTACTTTAACCCTCGGGTATAGGGATTATTCATTTTTTTTTTGAAAATATATGCAATGTTTTTGAACCATGACCCTACTTGGATTTTAAAACTTGTAGTACAAGTCTTGTACGATTACGCATTTATACATATTGTGCATAAAATATGTAAAATATTTAAAATAGGTTGTGCACGGACTAGGATATACAGGAGTGGACACGACAAGGTTGGAGGGTGTGTGGGGTTGACCACGAAATGTATTCTAAAGGCGGAGTTCGGGGAGATATTTTCCTTTTAGCATTACTAGCGCTGTCTTAGTGGATACTTATGGGACTAGAAATTTGTATGATGTGTTCTAGTTCCATAAGTATCCACTAAGACGGCGTTAGAAATGCTAAAACCAGGTCCAGACCACGGTTTAAGATAGAACCAGACCAAGAAACATTGTCGAACAAATTTTTCTTTGGTGTGGACGGGGCTTAAAAGGAAAATATTCCCCCGAACTCCGCCTGTTGTACTAAATTTCGTAACCACAATATTCATCTCGTGTCCAGTCCTGTATAATAATTAATATTATCTTGGTTTGAAGATGGTTGAAGTCTGTTATCAAAGCTAAAGATAGTACATGGTAGTACTATCTACAACCGTATCTTAGATTAATTATTATAAACATTGAGGTTATATTTATAAATTATTTAAACGTATTTTTCCTTATCATGGTTCATAAAAAATAAAAAATTATTATTAGATAGATAATAATTAATAACATAAACTGAATAATAAAATTTTACTCTGTGATACAATATTAATAGGTATGTAGATAAATTATTGGTGTATTTATCATATTTTATATTTATGTAATTAATAATTATGTGATTTTAAAATTTTAAATTGTAGTTGCTCCCTAGTTAATGTTAAGTTACTAGTGACTAATGACGAATAGTATCAATAAACCATGCAAAATGAATCTCATATTAAAATATATTAAAAGAAAATTATTATTGTATTGGATCTTAAGAATTTGTGTGATAAGTATTTTTTTAGTTATTGGTATTGTCGCATATTTTATTTTGTTTCCATCAATAATTTACATAAACTCAATTGATATTCCAAGATTTTTAGTCAAGACCAGTGCTGGTGAATATGAACTTCTCAATATTAGTACATGCCCAATAGTTGAAATTAATGAAGAAATAAGTCTTATAAATGTGCAAAAACCTGTCAGCAGTACACAATTAGACTTTATTAAGCAATCTGTTTCTTCAGGTGGAGAATGGATGCCAAAACATTGTATACCTCAACATCATACTGCAATCATAGTATGCTATCGGAATCGAACAGATCAACTTCAAACCTTTTTATATCATATGCATTCATTTTTACAAAAGCAAAATATACATTATCAAATATATGTTATAGAACAAACATTTGATGCTGAATTTAACCGCGGAAAATTATTTAATGTTGGTTATCGAGAGGTTACAATGCGTTCTCTAGCTGGATGTTTTATTTTTCATGATGTCGACCTTATGCCAGAAAATATAAATAATATTTATGGTTGTACAAGCTGTCCAAGACACATGAGTACTAGTATAAATGTTTTTAATTATAAATTACCATATTATAATATATTTGGTGGTGCTATTGCAATGACGCGAAGACAATTTCATGACATTAATGGATTTTCAAATGTGTTTTACGGATGGGGTGGAGAAGATGATGATCTGTTTAACAGAGTTTACCATAGAGGCTATAGAGTTTGTCGATATCCATCATTTATATCAAGATATACAATGTTAACACACGAAAAAGAAACGCCAAATGAAAATAGAATGAAATATTTAAGAAATGGCCCAAAACGATTTTATACAGATGGTGTTGATTCAGTTACTTACAATTTGATCAAATATGAACAATTACCATTATATACAAGAATATTAGTCAACGTTTAAAATAAATATAGTAACTATTAAATACAAGAAGAAGCCGACATGAGAGTGTGACTCATTCCTTGTCTTGCTATATATTTATTTAATATAGTCAATAGTCATAATATTAGACAATGGAAATCATTATGTATCAAAGTTTTTTTTTCTTATATTTTTACTACTTATCACCTTTTTTAGGTTAGTTAATTTATTTAAGTATTATATTGGATAATTATGTATATAATTGATTATTATAAGCAAATGCGTTAATTTGGGGGCTAGGGGTGCTAAGCCCCTCCAAACTTAGCCGTAGCCCCCCCCCCCAAACCTAGGACATACAATTTTAATATGCTATATTGCAATGGTCTGCTTGCCTTTAACATATTCAAACCCCCAAGTCAAAAGTTGAAATTGCGCCTATGATTATAAGCCTTTCAAAAAAACTACTTATTTTTCAATTAACACTGTTAATAGAAACTGTTATGTTAATTATAATTTAACCAATATTAAATAGTCTACAATTAAGTTAGGTACCTTACCATGTCCAATTCTAAATAAATGTGTTTTGAATTATTAAATTAAGTTATTTACTGTACTTCAAAGTGTATGTTTGCATTATAAACAATTTTTTATAAAGTATTAAATAAGTCTGATCTTAAATTTAAAAATTAATGTAATTACTGCAAGAAGTAAAGTGAGAATAGTGGTAATTTTTAATTGGGGTAGAATTTCAAAATTGTTAATATTGCATATTATATTACATTGTTAGGTAATTGTGTTCATATTCCACTTTAATTTAAAATTGTACTTATAAACAGTAATACAAATAAAATGTTTGTACATAGATGAATCAAGATCTTATTTATCTATTAAAGAATTTTATAATTCATATTTTTAGTTTTGTACTAATATTATAGTACGTAATAAATACTATTGTATTGATTAAATGAAAATATTTATCATAATTATAGTTTTCTTGTTGTTGTAATAAACGAATTATCTTTGTATTTAATTGTTTTTCATTAATATTGAAAACATTTAATTATGTATATACCCATTTACGAATGGCTGAACAATGTCATAGATAAAACTAATTGGTAGCAATACTACATCTAATATAATTAAAATTATAGTAACCTTTTAATTACCCTGTAACCTTTTTCCCCAAATAATTTTTTTTCTTGTTATTTGAAAAAAAAATAAATGCACACAAAATGGTACAATTTGTGTAATCGAGTCATATAGTATTATAAATTATAATAATTTGAAAAGAGATTGAGAAGAAATCATCTAGAGGCAGTACTCCTACTAAAATGTAATACTATTATTACAATAGCTATTGCTTAAAATAATTATTTTTGTTAAAATTAATAAAACTCAATATCAACATTATTTTTAAACTAAGTTTTTTTGTGTACTTTTTTTAATAAAAAAAAAATTGCAGAAGGGCACAATTATTTAGCAAGTAAGTTATCTAAAATATGTGTAAAGTAAAATATGTTTCATAATAAAATATAGAAATATCAGTTATTACTAGGTTTTAAATGATAAAGCTTCCCCATTTAAATAATCAGTTACTTAATTTAATTAAAATACTAATAATTGTCTACTCACATACTACACGTATCATTGATTGCATTGAACCATGTATAATATGTATTTATTTTATTTTTTATTTACCTGTTGGGAAGCTTGAAGATATGGCAAATGTATATGTGATACAATATGTGGTAATCGTCTCCACTCTCTAATTACATGTATGCTAGCCATTTCTACATTTCGAGTAACATATGGTAAATTTGGCTCATCTGGATGACAAATTGCCAAAAACCCTCTGTATAAATACATCTAATAAATAAAAGTAAATGTTAATACTTTTGAAAATTATTATAAAGAAAAATATTTTTACAATACCTTCCACAAAAATTCTTTAGGGCATGTATTATCAACACAACTTAAAGCTTCACTCATTACAAGCCAATCAGGTATACGCCAAGCACTGTCTAGTATTAAAAATGGGTTGAGATGACCATTAAGTTTTGAATATTCAAGTAAAATGTCCCACTGATTGAGCTCTTTTGAACATCTTTAACATATAATGTTGTAATGTATATAAATATATCTCATTGAAAATTAATTACTTACCTAATCCATTGTGATTCCCATAAGCGTGCTTCACTTAAAATCATGACTGATGCAGGAGAACTGGAAAATTCACTTTGATATTTTTCAATTAAAGATTCATAAGTAGATAAAGCTTGTTCAAATAACCCTTGTTGTTCTAACGCAAGAGCAATTTTAGTCTCTCGATATTGAGCATGTTTTTGCCACAAGCCAGCCCACATGTCTTCTTCTTTAAGCTGTTTGTACATCTCTGCTAATGTATCAATGACATCCTATAAACATATATTTAGGATAAGGCAAACATTTGAATTAAAATTGATGTGTAAGAACATACTCTCTGTGGAGATATTTCTGGTTCAAATTCATAACAATCTTGTTTTGTTACTTCAAAGTTATTATCTATCATCATTTTTTCTAATGATAAAGTTACACGGTGCCATAAATTATGAGATTTACCAATATACAACATGACACTTGGTTTAAAATGTATTTTTGGTTGGCATTGAAATAATGCTTCAAAGAATGTAGATATAACACTTGGATGAACATCTCTTTGAACAACGTGTATACCACTTACAATAAATTGATTGATTTCAGGTAATAATATCTAAATTAATAAATGTATAAAGAACTAATTTTACTTGATGATTTAATATATATATATATATATGTGTAAAATGTACACATAAATAATGGTATTAAAGCATTAAAATAATTTTGAGTAATTACAGTTTTTTGTGTGGAATTTAATGACTCCCAAATTGCAGGAAATAACACAAGCCAAATTTTTTCGGCTAAGCTTGAATCCATATGACACAGTTGGGCTATGGCTGAACAGATGTCTCCAAGTTTCATCGCTTCTAGATTATCCATAAATTTGATGTGTCTGCTAATCAATGGTTCTAATTTTCCACCCTCGACAACTTCAATGTTATCAGTCACTATTTGATCAGTGTCCATTGCATACTCTGATTTGACTCCAATATCTTCATTAGTATTAAGAATTTCTTCAATGAATGAAGTATCACAGTTATTGACTAAATCTCTAATTGTTGGTAATTTTGATGAAGTTGATGAATTTGAATCTTTTAATGTCACGGATAAATCTAAAAACCCATTTAGAAATAATATTAATTTTAAAAGTCACAGTAAGAAAAAAATAAAAATGTAAAAACTGTCTGAATTTAATTTATTAGAGAAAGTTACATACTTGGATCAACTGTAGCTAATAATAATTCAATGCATTGTTTTATCCAGTAATGCGTCATCATTGGTTCCCAGTTTTGTGAACTCACTATGTATAACAAACGTTCTGGCAATCTAGTATTAATTTGTTGATTGAATAAAGTGAAAAATTTTTCACGGACAGCTGGTTGTGAACAACGTAAACCACTTAAAAAGGCTGCTTCCAATTTATGTCCAAGTTCTGAATTACGTAATTCCTCATCTCTGAAAAATAATTTGATTGAAATAGTTTATTATGATGTTTATTATTTAATACAAACAACAATTAACAATGCAATGTTGGTATTAACTATTAATTATAAATTTATAACCATTTTTTATATAGTATAAATTAAATCTTGTACATAAAAATTGTTAGCTTTAAATAATTTACCTATAAATGTGAATAATAATATCTAAATATTGAGCATTTAGATCAGGAAACTTTTTTTCAATATGTTGCATAATTTTTACCAATAGTATAGATTTTTCACGCAAATTAGGTCCCTCATTTGGAGGATTATGCATCCATTCTTCTAACATCTAAAATACAGAAAGAAATAATTAAAGCTTATAATTATATTTATATTTAAATATTAAAATAGACATTTTTCTGTTATAATAGATTGGTTTTTTATATTTAAAAATATCAAATCAAACAACACAAATATAAATATGAACCAAGTCTACCAAGTTATTTAATTTCATAATATTAATTAAATAATTTAGTGTAAAATATGCCCCATTCACAGATTCTTAACCAATAGCGCTCATTTAGTTATTGAGCTTTACAAAATATATTTTTACACCAACATTTTGTATTCAGGGAGGACCTTATATTTTTTTAATCAGTATTTATTTATTGATTTATTTAGTATTGTTCTTCTGTTTATTGCTAAAATGTTTTAATATGTTAATTTATTTTATTTCATTCAACAATAAACAAAATATTTTGATAGGCTACTAACAATCCCAACAAACCAATGTGTAATGTCCCCTATATAAAAACTTTCATAACTATTAAAATCCTCCTATAATAATAATGATCTTTCCTCTAAAACTCCCTTCATCATCTCAACAGATAGTGCTGAAGAGAACTCTTTTACCTTTGATGTTATGGTAGTTTTTCGGTTTTTCTCAAAGTAAATTTCTTATTGTACATTTTTTGTATTAATTCTAATGAAACAAAAAAAAAAAAAAATCATAAAACATACTTTTAAAATTGTTTTCATTATTCTTGAATCATTTGTTTTTTCAATCAATCCAACAAGGATAGTCCCAATAAATGTTTTTCGAGTTTCAATGTGCATGTTTGTAACTCTGTTTTTCATCAAATCTAAACTTTGAATAACTAGCTCACTTATTCCCATTGAAGACTCAGTGTTTGTAGATTGTGGCTGTTCACGACATACTTTTTGTAGAACATGTACAAATCGTGAAGACAAGTTATCGATAAAAGCTGCATTGTTAGCACTGGCAGCTTTTAACATTATTACACATGTTAAAAATCGATTATAATTTTGTGATATATTTTTCTCGAAATTGTTTAAACTTTCATCAATTAACTGAAATTTACAGATAATAATTAATTTTTATAATATTAAACACAATGTAATAAACACAATAACATACCACATTTATTAAAATGTATAGTTCTTCAAGTTCACTAAGATAAG